GTTCCATGGTTGTAATGAGATACTTACATACCCCAAATACCCTAGATCTTTCTCTACTTCTTTTTTAAGTACCTTGAAAAAAATGTTAAAGATGCATCATACTACGCTATTAAGTTGGTGTGAAGGGAATAAACTGGTTTATAGAGACTAAGAGAGAGAAACATTTCTAAAACGCAAAGATTAGTTCCATAAAGTACCTATATATGTTAAATCGGTGCTTAGAAAAGTCACATTTAAAATCAAAATTGTCTCTGTTACACTTGAAAATGAGAGGGAAATACTTTTCAAAACTTTTTATAATTGGGGGGGGGGTTGGGCTGGGAGGAGAGAGAGAGAGAGAGAGAGAGAGAGAGAGAGAGAGAGAGAGAGAGAGAGAGAGAGAGAAGGGGCAAGGACTAGAAAAAAAAAAGAAAAAAAGTAAATCACTTCTCTTTTTCTCAAGGGAAAAAACTTCACAAGCTTGTTTGTTTGGCCCCAATTTCTCGCTTAGCAATCTGAATCAATGAACTAAAGCCTTCACGGATGACTGCATCAATTGGCTTTTGAATTAGCGGATAGCATTACTCAATCAACTTTGAGACTAGCCTTTTCAAGAAACATATTTAACTGTGGCATACAATATTTCAATTCTATAATGAGAATGTCAACTGTAAACCTAAATGTAGAATTACAGTTGTTTTTCTCTCAGCTACCCCCACTCCCCCCCCACACACACACACACTTACTACAAATTTGAATAATATGAATTCAGGAGGCATTTAAATAAATATGGTGTGCATTCTAGAGTATATGGCAGGTATTATTGCTTCAATTACTTGGAGCCTGTCAAAGGATAGGTTGACACATTGGTAAGAAAATCTGCGTCCTATATGTCGTGTTCTCAGGGCTTTACCCTTCACCAGAGGAGAGAAAATGAAATGGGCTCAGAAATGGTGGCTCCATGCTTTGCACTATCCCTATTGCTCATCATGCTGAGCCAGGAAGCTCCGTAAACCAAGTAAATTCACTAGAAGACTGAGTTTCAAGGTAAAATTAGAAGAAAGACGACTTTCCCAACACAAAATTACCTTATGTGTACGATATTGCCATATGGGCATACACACAACCCGCATCTGTTTTATCAGTGTTTCTAAGTAATTAAGACATTAAATTTTGCCTACAAGGACACTTCTTTGGTCAACCCACCAACCAAAGAGTTTTGATTAATTTAAAATTCAGCTTTAAACACAGAGGTCCTATATATTACCTATTAAAAATCAAATTTAAGGGTGTTAATTTAATGATGACATTAACATCTTCTGGCTTTTCCCCCAAGATTTCCAAGATATGCCACAAATGGTTTGGCTCAGTGGATAGAGCGTTGGCCTGCAGACTGAAAGGTCCCAGGTTTGATTCTGGTCAAGGGCATATACCTTGATTGTGGGCATATCCTTAGTGGAGGGTGTGCAGAAGGCAGCTGATCGATGTTTCTAGCTCTCTTTCCCTCTCACTTTCTCTCTGTAAAAAGTCAATAAAATATATTTTTTTAAAAAGATTTCCAAGATATAAGCCATGAGAAATATAGTTCGGATCATCAGTTGTCAAGCTGTAAGTGACATTAACCAGAGTTTCGATTTAAGAGAAAGTGTATGTGTGTGTATTTGGGGTGTGGTGACTAGCAATAGAGAATTTTTGTCTTATAAGTTTTCTAAATTTTGCTGAAAACCACTTGAATATAAATATATCTTAGATTGTATGTTTCACTAAATAAGGTAAAATGAGCATAATTTAAAAAATTTTAATCTAATTATTGAGCATTTATTATGTGCCAGGAGCTGTTCTAATAAACTTGCATGTAAAAGCTTATTCAATCCTAACAACTCTGAGATAGGCACTATCCTACCCTTTTTAGAGTTGAGGAAATGGAAAAGTTAAGTAACTTGCCAAAGTTGCCAAGTGCACACAGCTAAGCAAGTGCAGATTTGGGAATAAAATCTAACAGCTCATGCTTTCGACTCTAGGTTATTCTACTCTCTGTTAGCAAATGGACAATATCATCTTATTTACCCCAAACTCAATTTGGTATTGAGTGTGGGGGAAGTGGATGGAACTGGTAAGACTTGAGATCTCTGAGATAATTCACACAAACACAAGTCAAATCAGAGATGCTCAGCTTCTTTAGTCCAAGGTCTCTAGTTGGCTCCGCCAGGAATAGTTCCCATGCTGGGTGCTTGGAGAGAAACAGCTCATTTGAGCCCATGCAAAGATCATGTTCATTTTGGGGGAGGCATAAGAATAAGTGAGGAACTATAGATATATTTTTGTAGACTTAAAAAAAATGTACTAATATGACTGATACATTCTGTACAATAGGAAGATGAACACATGGTACAATGACTAAGCAAAGATATTATATACCCACATTTACAAAGATTTCTAGAATAAATTTAATAGGTATGAAGTATTCTATGGTTGTTTTTCATATATTATCTATTAGAAATCAAATGTAAGGGTGTTAATTTATTGATGACATTAACATCTAAAAAGTACGGGTAAAGGTTTCAAAATTTTCTCCCAGGTGTAAGTTAAACCAATAGTACTTTTCATCGTGAGGTGTGGTTACAAGGCCTCAGGAAAGCAGTCCAATGTTGAAATAGCAAAACACTGTGCATAAATGACAGACAAAAGACAATTGTTTGAAGGCATGTAGTCTGTCGTCATTTTTACCTGAATGAAAATAAATACAAGTGATAGAATGTATACAGTCTTCTTCTATATTGTCTAAAGAAGGCTCATTAATAAAGAATAAATAAAGTGTTTTAGAGTGAGCAAGACATTTGTGAACAAGTTTAACTTAAGCATTTGACATAACTAAACCAAGGCCATCATAGTTTGTAGTCTGTGTGCAGGTGCTAACCTCAGCCGTAGGAAGATGTACGAAGGATGGTATGTGGAGCCCAGAAGCTTTGGCTTTTGAGAAGTGGGCCCCTGAAGAGCAGCCATGAAGGCAGCTGGTTAGGGGCAATGGAGAGGGAGCAGATAAGTCGAATGTGATGACCTGGGAGCCTGGGAAGACAGGAGCAATGGAAAAAAATAAGTGATTGTATTGAATGATAACAAGAGGTCACAGAAGACCAGAACTGGAAAATGTTCATTATGTTTGTGGGCTATTGATGGGTGGTGACCTTAGCAAAAGCAGTTTCTGCAGCATGATCGCAATGGAAGATTGCCATGCTTTAAGCAATGAATGGGAGTTAAGTACATTACGACAGTCAGGGCAGAGACTACATTCAATCAACTTGGAGAAAAGAAAAAGATGAGAAATGCACAAAGAAATGATCAAGGAAAACTATTAGTAGAGAATGAGAAAATAAAACTATAAACAATTTGGGGGAAGGCAAAGTAAACTGGGGTCTAAGCTCAGGCTGATAGGTTCACCTTGTCAGGAGATACACAGCTTGCTCTGAGATGAACATACAGAGGTTCTCCCAACTGACTTTCTATTTTTAACTTTCAAACCATGTGGAATTTATTTTGATAAGTGATATAAGGGTAATAGGTCCCCTCCCCTTATTGCCTATGACAAATTTTGAATGAATGAATGAATGAATGAATGAATAATAAACAGTCAGCCCCAGGCCTTGACCTTTCAGTCACCAAGGACTCAGAGGAGCACAGGCCTTCCCACACACTCCCTGCCTCCATCCCCCACTCCCTAGCATAGTTTCTTCATTCTCCAGACCCGTCCACTGGCTTCAGAAATTAGGCTCTCACGCTATCGGGAAACACCGGGGAGATTAATGGGGAGGAGTTACTCTATCTTCAATCTCATGTAGGCTGGCAGTTTCTCAGCCTTGCCAACTATTTTCTTTGCTTGGTTTCTGCCAGAGGCAAGAGCAAGTAACGAGGAAAGGGAAAGAGTGATAGCAAAAAAGATTAAAAGAAAGAAGAAAGTCGTAGAATAGGGAAGATTCACTGCTGAAATTAAACTGAGAGCAGGATAGGAAAGAGAGAGATTGGTCTGCAGAATTAAAAGCTGCACATGTGTGTGTTTTTTTAAGATTATGTGGATTACCTATTGTATTGGGAGATCCAAATGGGTTTCCCTCTATACACACACTCCTACCAGGTAGCTGTTCGAGTCCTCTCCTAAGAACCAAAAGCTCCATATGCAAAGTTGTTTATGGGTCTTTTCTCCAGTAAGAGACATGGAGAAAAGACCCATGACATTTTTAACAGCACCCACTTAGAATTCTTTAATTATAAAATCCGAGGTATATTTTTCAAATTGGATTAATACAGTACGTCTTCACTTCCATCGTTTTCATCCTTAATTTTGAAGGTATGCGTGCCTTTTCTCAGTGGGGAATCAAAAAGCCTTCAGCACTTGTCAGAATTACTCATCTGAGCCAGAATTTGATCGTTAAATTCAACCCAGAGGTCCTGGCAATTGTGGTCTTGCTTGGTCACTCTAAGTTCTCATCAGTCCTCCCCAATTTTAGACAATAATGCAGTTCTGTTTCTTGTAAGGACATATTTATTCAACTCACACTTATTAAGCACACAATACATGCTTGGCATTGGGCTGGTTGCTGAGACTAGTAAGATGAATGAGATATAAAATTGGCCCCTTAAGAATTCATATAGAGGAAAAAAGAGCAAATATATTTTTAATTTCCGCAATCTGATTTCTTCAGAGGTTTGTTTAATATCCTTCCTCTGAATACCAAGACCGATGATACATCCATTGCCTTGTGTATTATCAACAAAGCTGCTTTATCATGAATAAGCAAAAGAGTACATAAAATTTGGCTGTGCAAAAGAAAAGTTCTGGATAAAGAAAAAGAGACTTCATCTAAAAAGTACACATGAGAATATGAGAAATGCCAACCACCCTCCTGCCCAATCCCAGGAGGCAATAACACACACACACACACACACACACACACACACACACACTCATGCACTCACATGCACACACAAAAAACAATAACAACCACCACCACCACAGCGAAACTTACCTGACTTGCCCACGCCTGCCCTTCCAAATACTGCCAGTTTGACCTCTGCACTTTTAGCCATGCTGGGTGGTGGTAGACAACTCTCTGTTGTTCAAACTAAAGAGCTGACAAAATCGTTTTGGTTCCAGCCTTTGGGTTCACCATATCATTGCAAATCTGCAACTCTTAAACAAAAGAGATTTGTATTAATATTTATTAAGAATCTCCTCGGTGCCAGCTATTATTCAACTTTATCAACGTTTTCCATTTTGACCTTCACCACAATCCTGTAAGAGGGCTCCAGTAATTTACTGTAAATGATTCAACTATTAAATGACAGATCCAGATCCAGGACTTGAATTTCAATCTGTTTTGGTTCTAAAACATGTATTTTTCACTCACAATAGCATTTTCTAAATGCTATATTTGCTATCAATTCCTGACATTTCCTAAATGTCAGGAATTGATAGCAAATATTCGAAGTATGTGACCACATGCATTTACCATGTGTCTGTAAACATCCCAGATGCAAACATATGTGATGGGGAGAGTCACATTTGGAACTCTATCTATTAGGCCAAGTAATATACATTCATAATAGTCAACCCCAATATAATACAATTGAATTTGCATATTAAGGCTTAAATGTTATCTCAGCTCATACTAGATCACATGATCAAGTCATGTAATAGATACTCATGTTCCAGGAATTGATATGTAATATTTAGATTGTATTTTTCCGGGCACAATGGCCTGGTACACAAAAGATAAATGCCATGTCTGACTTCTGATTCCTTTTCTATGACAACTTCAAGTAAATTAGTTTATGATATTATCCTAACACTTGGGAAATTAGTTATATACTATAATACATAAGCACATTTTATATGGGTAGGTGCTTTAGGGATGATACCTGGGTTCTTAGTACCACAGAAATGCAAAGTTGACAAGAGCCTTGGGGTCCAGCTGGCATAACTCAGTGGCTGAGCTTCCACCTATAAATCAGGAGGTCAAGGTTTGATTCCTGGTGAGGGCACAAGTCCAGGTTGCGGGCTTGATCCTCAGTGGGGGGCACCCAGGAGGCAGCTGACCTAGGATCCTCTCTCATCATGGGTATTTCTATCTATCTCTCTTCTACTTTCCTCTCTGAAATCAATAAAAATATTAAGAAGAAAAAAAGAAAAGAGGCTTGGGGTCAACCAAAGACTTCTCCAGCCATTGTAGGAACCCTATGAACAGACAACCATGCAACACCCATCGTGTGTCTGAGTTACCACTCTCAGGTGAGGAGGGGAAGGAGAAGCATTGCCAGCCTTTTCTTTTTGGTCACTCAGAGCCCTTCAGGAGGCCTAGCAGCCATGAGGACTCTTTGCTCCACCTCAGGATCTACTTTCTAAGGAAGCGAGGGCCAGCATCTCCCCTTGTACGTCATGGGACGTAGTGTCTTGTTTATACTTTTTTTAAAAATATATATTTTATTGATTTTTTACAGAGAGGAATAGAGAGTTAGAAACATCGATGAGAGAGAAACATCCATCAGCTGTCTCCTGCACACCCCCTACTAAGGATGTGCCTGCAACCAAGATACATGCCCTTGACTGGAATCGAACCTAGGACTCTCCAGTCCAAAGGCCGATGCTCTATCCACTGAACCAAACCAGTTTTGGCTTGTTTATACTTTTTTGACTTTCACAATCCCTCATCACCATATGCAGCTCTCTCCTTTGATCTTGCCATGTTCATTACTCTAAAAACATGGCATCCACTGCACCCCCCACCAGAGATGTGACCCAGTACAAGGTCACTGAGATTTTCTCTATTCATTATCTGGGCACTGTGGTTGCATTGACCCTAGCCACTCCTCTTCCACAGGAGCTGCACACTTCCTCACTCTAAACGTCTGCAGTCAATGTCTTAACCCTAAATACAAGACTTCACTTTCATCCCAGTTAAACTTAATCACATCAGTCTTCATGTCACCCAGTGTTCTAGTCTGTACAGAGAATTTTGAAACACAAATCTGTTATCTAAATGTGTAGGCTGCTCCTGCCAGTGTTTTGCCATCTACACATTTTCACAAACAGCTTCTCCAGTGGAAGGATGAAAAGCCTTGGACATTGGCTATAGTTTCCTTTATCCTCAATAATGAAAAAACAAACAAAACTTCTTAGTAATTATTAATAGTTTCGAACCCTGAAGCTTTGACATCTGTTATTTGTCCAATCCCATACTTTAGCTAAAGATCTCAGGACTTCCTTATTTTAATTTTGTATGCGTTCATTAAGAAGATGCCTCTGGCCAAAACCAGTTTGGCTCAGTGGATAGAGTGTCGGTCTGCAGACTGAGGGGTCCCAGGTTCAATTCTGGTCAAGGGCATGTACATTGGTTGCAGGCACATCCCCAGTGGGGGGTGTACAAGAGGCAGCTGGTAGATGTTTCTCTCTCATCGACATTTCTATCTCTCTATCTCTCTCCCTTCCTCTCTGTAAAAAATCAATAAAATATATTTATTAAAAAAAGTGTCCTCTTGTTTAGTGCTTCATCATAGAAGTTTCACAGAAGCATAATATATAAAGATGCATTAACTATGCAAATGCTAAATAAGAATGGCAAGCATTTCTTTGAAACATAGACCATGCAAGTGTCTGGAGCTTGTATTAACAACAATTTGTTATTTAATACAAATTTGTGCATTCACATACACATAAAAACCTGTGTCATTACCTATTGTATGGATGCTTCATGAAAGTAGCCATCAAATATGATTTTTAAAAAAGAAAACCATATTTGTTATGTAAAATATTTCAGTAACCTCTCAGTAACTCCCACATGGCCTCAGAGGAATAGGAATTTCACATAAGAAAGAGAAATTGTTTGGGCTCATTTTTTTTAAATTTATAACCTAATAAAGATACATCTGGTTATTCTCAATCTCATGTCATGTTTAGGAAAATGACTTAAAGGAAGACACAAACTGAGATACATCCTTCAATATTTTATTTCTCTCATGAAAATGTGTAAGCTGCTCCTGCCAGTGTTTTGCCATCTACACATTGCTGTAATAAGTGACCTGTTGCCAAATTTCTGATGTTCCAAACAATTCATAGCCCTAGCTGCTTTGGCTCAGTGGATAGAGCGTCAGCCTGTGGCCTGAAGGGTACCAGGTTTGATTCTGGTCAGGGGCACATGCCTGGTTTACAGGCTTGATCCTCAGTGAGGGATGTGCAAGAGGCAGCCAATGATTCTCTCTCATCATTGATGTTTCTATCTCTTTTCCTCTCCCTTCCTCTCTGAAATAAAAAAAAATATATTAAAAAAAAACAATTCATAAACCAAGACCTTCCATATCATGGATCTAAAAAACAAACTATTAGTTTTAATGTTGTGCAGAAATATTCCGGCTGAATCCAGAAGTTGCCATTCACTTTTTATGTAGACAGTTGCTTTATTAGGACAAAAACTTCCGAGTTCCTATAAATCCCAAAGCTAGACTTACACATAGATATTTAAGAGATTAAAGGTATGGTGATTTTTTAAAAAACAATAAAGGCCCAAAAGAAAGCTTAGAAAGAAGAGAAACAGAAGCTAGCCTCCAAATCCTATGCTATTAACACATTGATGGATTCATTCCACATTTATGCGAAGCATATACAAACAGAGTGGCTTCCTCCCAGGAGCTTAGACCTATGACACTTAGGTCACTAATAACCTCATCTAAAAAGTATTTAAAGAAAGGTTTCATTCATCATAAATCATTCCCAAGACGACTTGTCAAAGCCCATGCTTCCCACTTCCTCTTGGTTAAAAAAGAAAAAAAGAAAAAGAAGAAAAAAAATAAAGACAGAAAGAAAAAGAAAAGCATCGTTCTAAGGTAATCGTGTTTTTTTTTGTTTGTTTGTTTTGTTTTCTTTCTAACTAACTTCTGTATTTCTCATCAAAATAAAGTTCAGCTGTTTGGGGAAGCAAAGACTCTCTAGCCCCGGCCTTGGGAATGAGATTCCCGCTGGGCTGCCCCCTTCTCCAGCTCAGAAATCAAGTTTTTCCTCTTCTCAGAGCCCGAATTCTCCCTCATCTCACCACGCAGCACCCACAGCACGAGAATCACTGTGCAAGCCCCGGGGCTGCGGCGCTGCTCCGACAGCAACAGGTACCCTGGACCGACCAGCGGGCCGCCGGGGTCCTCAGGTCACCGGCCGGCAGCTTAGAGGGCAGAGCAGCCCTGGCCAAAAGGGCGCTCTGCGTCCCAGCTCGCAGGGCGCTGTCAAACTCTGGGCGCCTGGCTCACAGCTCCCTCTGGGGAGCCCCAGAGCCGCCCTGGGGGCCCAGGGACCAGGAGGAGTCCTTTCCCCATCCCCCCACACCCCCCCCCCCCTCCCAGAAGCCGAGGGTCCAGGGACGCGGAAGGGTCTGCAGGAGGTTCTCCCCAAAGAGCCACCTGGACGCGCGCCTGACACTCACCTGTTCGCAATCTCCAGGCCGGGAGAAGCGCGGTCCCTGCAAGTTGCGCAGCCCGGAGCGCAGGCTGCGGTTTGGGAGTCGCTGGGCTGCGATCACGATAGGAGCGGCGGCAGCGGGGCAGCAAGTGCGAGGGGACCGGCGGGAGTCTCCTCGCTCCGACCAGCAGCAGCCTGGGGACTGCGGCAGGACGTGCAGCACAGCCCGCTCGAGGCCGGGGTGCTGCAGTGCGGCGCTCGGGCGCCCCCTCCTGGCCAGGGGCCTCTGCCTGGACTATCCGCCTTTTCTGGGCTACACAAGAGTCAGGCTTCCCTTTCCCCTTGCTCAGCTCCCAGCCTCTAGGTTCTCGCCCAAGGATCTCTTTCCTTACTTAACATGTTGGGTGTGAAAGCATCACTACGTGGTATTTTTCCATTCTTGATGTTCTTTTTTAAAATATACTTAAAAAATATATATAATTGTTTTTTTTTATAGAGAGGAAGAGAGAGGGGTAGAGCGTTAGAAACATCAATGAGAGAGACTCATCCATCAGCTGCCTCTTGCACACCCCCTACCGGGGATGTGCCCACAACCAAGGTACATGCCCTTGACCTGAATTGAACCTGAGACCTTTCAGCCTGCAGGCCA